AGAATACCTGGATAGAAGAAGACACAATGAAACAGTATCAGTCGTAGATTGGCCTCACCAGAGCCTCAACATTGTTAAAGGCTGTACTGAGAATTTCAGGCTTGTTAGAATTGCACAAACCCTCTGTGCAAACTCTATATACTGTATTTTCATGTATGTTTGTATGCTTAATAGCACCTGTTTCCTGTTTTTCTACCAAAATATAAAGACATTAGTGTGGCTCAAGACTTTTCGACATTACCTTACAACAGAATGTATTTATTAACTATATCTAAGCAAAAATAAAAAGAGAGAGAGAGAGAGAAAAGTTAAAGTTGTGTGCCCATCTGAGTAAAAAATCCAAGAACTCCTTTTTTTTTACATGTGGAAAGTGGGACCATGATGCACCCACCTCAATGAGGCACTCTGTGTGCAAATTGCAAACCTTGCAAGATTCCACTTTCCTCAACTGCTCAATACATCAGGCTAAAACCCACATTTCAGTGCCTGGCTGAGGTTTTACCCCACATGGAATGGGGAGCCATATCAGCATTGGAGGGCAAAGTGGCTGCTGGTGACACCACAGAATGCGAAAACAACAATCATGCAATCATGGCTTATCGTGCCGCCATGAGTGTTATTTTTGAATTATGCTGCCTCGCTAACTGGCAACACCCAAAGTTCATTCACAGGAACCGAAATAAGACTTAAATGAAAGGTTTCTTCCTGCGGAACAATAAGGCCTGTTTGTAATGAAAGTTATGAAACCTCATGACCATGACCATTGCCTGTACACCAAATTTTCTAACTCTTCCATGTTCCAATACGACTGCTATATTAAGGCCTAGAAAAAAGTTGTTTTCGACAGTAGCTGACACTGTTTTAGGTGACATGACATTGACAGTGCCTTTGATAAGACAGCGATAATTGTGCTATGAATGTTTTCCTTAACTACAGTAGCTGAATTTAGACTAGTCTAACCTTAACCTTAAACCTTGAGTGATGTCAGGTTGTCATAACACACACACAAAATAATGGCAGCTTTGCATTAAAAAGTACACAGCTGAACAAATGACACTTAAAGCTGGGGTAGGCATCACTGGGGAAACATGCAGTAATAACCTTTCAGCAAACTGTGATTAAAGTTGTCTGAGAGGAAATTTGACTTGTGCACCTCCTGTGGGATCTGGTTTCAGGCTTCAGAAAAAGTGTCCACATTGGCAGTGGGATGTGGTGGATGAATGGGTTAAACAGAGCAGTTTTACTAAAGAAAGTGGAGTTCCTGTCATTTGTAAAGCCAAATGTCTTTGTAGTGTTTGGCGTTACTATTTATAGGGTGTTTCTATGCACATGCTGGTCTGGTTGGAGGGGTTAGACGGGAGAGAGAACTTTTTTTTTATTCTAATCTCTCCCCTTTGCCAATTTTGACTCCCAGGCTGGGAACCAGTGTCCTAGCATTTAGACTGCTGATCATAATGGTGCTAATCTATGGAGCAGCAGATCTAGAAAATCGTGTTTGTTAGTAACGCATTGTGAAAGTAAGTACAAACTTGGGGCGAACATTGAGTCCTGAGGCATTTCAAATCCTTCCACGGTTCCCCTTTGGATCTGAAACGAGATGCATTGTACTTTGATGAGGCTGGATGCTGGAAGGCCAGCAGCAAGTTTGGAGTTCTTCAATTCCAAAACAATGACTGTGAATAATCTCAAGTCCAACTCAAAAGAGAAACTGAGTTCAAAACATTCTCAGGGTAATTTTAAGTGCTGAAATATGGACATACCGACTCCCATTGGGGGATTTCATGTGTATATGAAAATAGATATGTCTTCTTGACTTTTGTTTGCACCAACACAAGTAAAAGTACCAGTTCTCACCCCTTGGCTTGCATGTCATCCTGCCTGTCCCTGATCCCTTGTTGGCAGCTGTATGTTGGCTTGGGAACACAACACCTCTGGAAGGGGTGTCATTGTTTGTAGCAGCTGTTTAGTCGGCCTGTCTCAGGAGCTCAGGGGAAGGCCAATTACCAGGATTTAGGCTGTTGGGAAACAGCTGAGGTGCAGGCAGCTTAACTGCTTGTGCAGCATTGTTACTATCACTGTGTGCGTGTGTGACACTTGGATGGACTGAAAAGAGGGATCCAGGGAGGAAATTCACAAGCATTGTCCTCCAATAAACAAACAGGGAGCTCTACTTCATGTGGCGGTTCATGGTGGGCTTGTTTGGATGGTAGAGGGAAACAGTAAAAGATCTGACTAACCTCTGGACAACAGCGCTGAACATGAGAGCTGTTGTGTTGCAGGGCTTTGCGGTGAGACTGCGACTGGGATTATGTCAGTTTACGGAGGAGAGGAACACACGATTTGCGTGGTTGGACTTTGTGTAAGCATTTTCTTGCCGACAACACGGTGCGGCACATGTAGGAGCGCCTGCGGTCAATGAAATCATGTGAATGAAAGCTGAAAAACTTGACACCAGGTATCAAAGCATAGATTTCCTGCATTCCCTCGCCCCCGAAGACCCGTTCGTGTTCCGTTTCACGAAGAGCATGTCTCTCTTTTCTGTGAGAGGAGTTTACTCTGGCAACTCAACCACCTACACTTATCCATTTCCTAGTGCTCTCAGGTCAGAACAATGTGCATGCCTCCACATGCTGTTCTTACAAGTGCAACTGACCTTTTTTGTTTCAAACTGGCATGTGTCACAATTTTCCCTCCGACCCTCTCTCAAAACAAAACGGAGATGATGTCCACCTGTAATAACACCCAGCGTGTCCTCGTTTGGCCAAAACCAGTGTTTACTTGCGGTTCCGTGTAAGCACGGCTCTCTCCGTCTTGTTCTCGGTGGTTTGCGAAGACGTTTATTATGAGAAACGAAGACAGGAAATATTTTTCAACTGCCTTAGGTTAGCTCAACAAGGAGAGGGAGTCAGAAACCACACCACAATAAAGCGCAACGCAGAAGAAGTGCAGAGAAATGTGGCTTTAATATAATAGTGGAATCAAGAAGAGAAAGGCGGAATGTGAGTGATTTGAGGAAATGATACATAATGAAAGAGAACGTAAGACAAGACAAATGAAGCGTGAAAGGCAGGAGTCGGATTCCTTCTTGGGTGAAAAAAATGTTGTCTTCACTGTGAAAATGAAATATCTACAGGTAAAACAAAAATCTGAAATAATGAAAGTAATTCTTTTAGTTTGTTATCTATGCGCTCACTGTGCAGTGCAGTTCAGCTCATTCTTGCATGTCTACTCAAAGCTCCCAGACTAATGCAAACTTAAAGTGAAACTGATCTACAGTACAGATGTGCCCATTGGGAAAACATAATAATTTATAGGGTCTAATTTGTAATAATAAGGCTTCGCTGACCCTTTTTCCCTCCCAGGTGATTAGTTCTGTTCACACAGTGTCCGTGATCTAAGCGGTGGCCTTAATGTCTCGCCTTCTCAAACACCCATGAAGTTCCAGTTGATCCAAAACAGTCCCAAACCTGAAATGATTGCAAGGCCGGATGAATTTTTTAATCAGTCAATTCTTTCAGGAATCTAACAATTAGGCCCAGCGGTTCCCTTGTATTTGCATCCAAAAGACAAAGTCCTGGTTTGAATGAACAGAGGCTCCTCGAAGCATCCTTCGCAGCAAGGTAACTAATTACTTCAGCATGCCACTGGAGTCGTGTTTCTTCATCGAATGGGGAAATGGTTTTCAGAACGTCTGCTTTCTTAGATTTCCCTCTGTGTGGTTTTACCTGGTGTCAGCGAGAGTTTAGTTTGCAGCAAAATGGCGAAGGTGAAGTCCAGAGAAGTCTGTCTCATGCGCTGAGATAACCGTGCACTTCCATGCCTCCTGTCAAGTCCTTCACCAGCAAATGCAGAGAAGCCACAGATAAAAAGGTGACTGGGAAAGCTATAGGCAGAGTGGAATATCACTTAGGTTTTCAATGGAAAATGTTGCTCAGGGAATCTGGGGTTTGGCCAGCTAAGTGCAGTGAGGGATGAGAGGTCAAAAAAGCTGAAAGGATTATTTCAGGAAGTGTCAGCGAGAGCCATCTCGCAGGTCCAGAGACAGCTGTGTAACAGGAAAACCGAAGGGACATCCTGATTGGTTCTGATTTGTAATGAAACCACAGGATGCCTCTTGCAACACTAGCCAGATTGTGGTGTTCACTCCCTCCAGTTTGGTAAAAGCTCTGTCACCATCTTACAAAACCCTTGCAGCCTTGTTTCCTCTAGCTTGTTACCTCTCCTGCCAAGAGAGAGGTCTTGGCCTCAGCTCCGTGGCAGAGCTCAGGTTTGGGAAACGCAGTGGCATGGTAGAGCCATTAATATACAGGAAGGACTGAGCCCCAAGGAAAAGGACACACCTCGGAAGTGTGAGGCATAAATTCAGTCTTTCCCCTGGACTTCCTGAGGTGCCACATCACTGTATAAAAGTTTGTTGCTTTGTCTGTTGGCTTTATCATGCAGAATCCACCATACCGCAAATGTTCAAATTATAGTCGCAGACTATAGTAGGTATCCACATCATGACAGAGGATATAGAAAACCAAAACTTTATGAAACCTATATTCAAAGCCATTTATCTCCTTCTGCTCTCTTCAACTGCAAAGAGACAGATTTTGATGTGATCCCAAGTTGAACAAATAAAGTCAAACATTCTCGTTAAGGTAGCAAAAATACACATGAGATAGCAAACGCTGGGGCCCAAACCACTAATGTGTGGTATGCGGTTGACGCAGCTAACTGCTGTGTACATTCAGCTCTCCCAATGGTTTGTCATGATTAGTTTGTTTAGCTCTTAAAAACCACCACGCCTTTTGTGTCATAAACAAACATCTCCTATATTGCATTTAGTGTCGAGCCGTGGCCCGTAGATGGAATTAAGACTTTGGCCTCCTTACATATACAAAAGAAGGCTAAAGTTGCCCAAAGTGACTGTTTACAGAATTTGTGTTTGCATGTTCTTCACTCATCAAAACATTTGAAATGATAAAAAATAACACTCCTGTATGTAATTTGCGGCACTTTCATTCTCTCTAAATACTCTTACCATGTAAAATTTCTTTAGTTTGTGTTTAAATCTGGACTATAACTGAATAAAGTAACTGAACGTACTATTAGAGGTTTCGCTTATTGTTGTAAACCCAAATAGATTTATTACAAATCTCCTCAGTTCCACACAGGCTATATATGTTTTTGTGTTTCTTCTTTCTTTTACATGTAGAAACCCTACATTTGATCGCACATTTCTCTCCAATGTTCTTTACATCTACGATGAAAGCATGACTTCCGGTGATTGCTGATATTGCTAACAGTTTAACATGTTAGCAATTTTTTAACATTTAAGCTTTAATTGTATATGCATGTACCCACCTTAACCACCTGTAGCTTGTAATAGCCTGTTTTAAAGCCTTGATTAGAGAATTGCCTTTTTGTCTTTTGGGGTGTGTTAAAGGATCAGAGGGTGGAGTGCTAAGTTATCAGTTAACACTAGGAAGCTTGGTTAACAAGGCCAGATGCACGTAGTTGTAAGTAATATCACAGCTCAGTCACACTAGAGTGAAAATAGAATGGCAGCCTACTTACCACTAGGAAAAATTGTTGGTTTCTTGTTTTATTTCTTCTTACTTGTTTTTACTTTCAGCAGCTGATTGCAAGTAGTTACAGTGACCTGTCTCCAAACAACAACAGTCTGACTGCAATCACTGTCAGACAGATTGTTTAAGGTTTGCAAATCATTGCCAACTAATTTCAAAATGTGGACAGATTGCCAACGGGTTGCAATCAGTCAGAGTCAGCTTGCACAACATGCATCTCTTTGCAATAGGAGGCTCAACTTAAAAGGTTGTACTCTTGTTTTCTTTTCAAACCTATGAGCTTCTGGCTTGACCTGCAAGCTAATGTGAAATTCCATTTGGTGCAATTTTTGTTGTGTATGCAGACAACAGCAGATTTGTGATTCCACTTCTATTTATCACAGTTAATCGCCCTATCAGCACAAACAGATACCTGTCTGCGAAACAGAGGGCCTCAATTGGCCAAATGAGGAAGGTTACAGGAACTTCCACATTGGCTTAATTTTCACCCGTGGAAGTTGTTGCTTGGTATTAAGTTCGTTAGTGAACCAGTAACATGAAAAAAAACAAACAAAAACAAACCCCAAACCCCATTGATTTCATTTAGAGGTTTATTCATTGCTTTCATCAAGTAACAACTGTTTTTATAAAAGATATTTTACAAGAGAGCAAATCGGACAAGATGAGGAGATATGTGTTTGGTCATTGGATTGAAAATCCAGTCTCTATCAAAACAAACAAACAAATAAACATAACATTTCAATTTATATAACTTAACAATAAAAGAACCAAACTATGGTCACCACTTTCTTTGTTTCGACAAAGTCAGAAATAATAATTTATAAGCTTTAATATACGTTTGCTTGCTTTCCATTCGTCAGCATGGTTGTGAAAGCATGGTTTGTGCTGGAGAAAGACATATACAGTACCAAAACTCTTGGCTTTGTTTATACTTGTAGGGTTTTCTTTTGGGGGGGTGGCAGGTAGGAACAACAAAGGCATCTTTGTTGTCTCTGAAGCCTCCGTCCTTTTGCTCTGCCTCTTCCCAGAAAGCGGGTATTGTGTGAGGTGTGAGGGTCACGAGCGGCCCAGAGGTTCAGAAGTGCGATTAGAAACACAAGGAGCGGGTCCGATGGTACCCCGCAGCCACCCTGCCTGGATCAGGTGTATAAAAAACACATGTGGGAGCCCCCCCACCTGCATAAGCAAATAGTGCCTGGGGAGTGGCTAGTGCGATTCATTCCATAATACTTCCATAGTCACACTAACAGGAATAACATAGAGTTGTCCTTCATTTCTCTTTACTTCCATTCATTTTTATGTAAAAACACCTCCACTGAAAACTGTAAGTGCAGCTTTTTTTTTTTAAACAGTTTGCACATTCAAGACACATAAAAAGGTCAAAAAGTTACTTTGTGCAGCTTCACTCCCTCTCAAAGTCCTTGACCAGATGCACAGTCTGGGTTTGTCAAAAAAAAGAAGGAAAACTGCACAATTTCTGAAGGAGTGTACATTTTGACACATATAAACAGTACCTTGAAGATATACATAAAATTAAAAAGTCAGCACAGAGAGCCAACTTCAACTTCTCCCATTGACTTCAATTTCATTCCCCCTGTTTGTGAAGTTGGCATCGGTCCCCCCAAACGTTTCTAACATATGCACCGTACATTAGTACATTCTAGATTCTTTCCATTGGATGACAGAAGAAGCGCTTGATGCTTAAGAGAAACTGAGTTTTGATCAAGAACAAAACAGACACACACACACACACAGACGGACAATAACAAATACTTGCTTGGCCGACGAAAAGATAATACTGAAATGTATTTTTGAAGTCAGGGGTAAAAAAAACGGAGCGAAGGGGAAGAAAGTCAAACTTTTAAGCCTGTCCTCTGGCTCCTTGTAAACAGCAATTAGAATGTAATGCTAAACAGCTGAGAGGGCTGAGGATCAAAAGGCTGGGGGTGCTCGTGGCGGTGGCTTTTTTTTCTCATACTAGACCATCTTGTTCTGAGCGCAGACGTGAAAAGGCAACAGTGTCCGCATAAAACACTGATAATGCAAAGCAAAAACATCCCTTTTAGGTCATGGCATTCCTCCACTGAGCCTTAAAGCACGCCTCTAATGCGTATATCTTTGTCACCGCGTCTTCATTTGGGTCCAGCTGAGTGTCATGTGCACATTTGAGCAAGTAAAAAGCCACGATAAGAAAGGAATCCTTCGCTGGTTAATGAAATCCAAGGCCGAGATGTGGACAAGGAGGAGAGAGCTGGCTGCTTATCTGCGTAGCCAGCAGTTGCTGTTGGCCCGCCATCGACGTGGCTGGGACTGGGACAGAGTTCAGTTTACAGTCAAAATGAAGACTCCAGTCAAAACAAGAACAATGCCTTCAGAGGATTCACACCGGGCATTTTCCCAAGCCCAGTGCACACCCGTACAAGTGTGTGCCACTCGAGTTCGTCGGCGCCTCGGATTGCTGAGCTCACTCAGCCCTTAAGGCACATGCTGTTGCTGGGAATTTTCATTCACAAATTGAATCCTGAATCCTGAATCATGACTGGGACCCTAAAAAAGTGTTCCAGAGGCACGTCAGTATCTGTGCTCCACATCGACCACAGTCAGTGAGTTATTTGTCTAAACAACAAAGGCACTTTGGCAAAAAGACTCAATTTGTAGCGTTAAAAAAAGAAGAAATAAAAAATAAAACATGAAAAAAAATAAGTTAACATTACAAAAGTTTTTTTCTTTTTTTTTTTTAAGGAAATACTGCTGCTAAAACTAGTACTCGCAAAAGAGAAGATAGCCAAGGCCTCTTATGAACCTTTTTTTTCAGACATCAATAACAACCAAAAAGAATGAAAGTTCTTTTTCTGCCTCACACTTCCTGACTTCAAATACCCCCACCCCACGACCACCCTCCCTAAACAACAGTTCTTTTCATTTTGGGGTGGGGAGGGGGGAGTTTATTTGGACTCTGGTGAGTTTGCTGAAACAGGAATGTTTGCTGGTTTGCATAGAGGGGACGGGAGGACGACGTCCAGGCTAATATTTCTGCACCAGCGGCACTTTGACAGTCTTGATCTCTGCTATATGAGAGGACTTCTGGATAATGCAGCTGGTGGTCCCGGAGGCACTGTCCTTCCCCTGTGCCAGGTTGGTCAAGGCCATGGCGGCGTTGATCTCCTTCCAGTATGTCTCGTCTTTGCCTTTCGCCTTTTCTTTCTGTGTGGCTCTGGGGCCACCGCTGCTGCTGATGAGCGAGCTGACCATGCAACACGAAAGGACAAAAACAGAGAGCGTTACGATCAGCTCGCAAATGCAAATGACTCGATCTGGTCTGCAGCGTTAAGAGAAAGGCTGCTCACCTGTCACATTTACTTGATCCATGCTCTGTGGTTTCTGAAAGCAAGGAGAGAGAGAGAAAAAAAGGTTAATTTTGCTGAGTTCATCGGGGTCAATGAGGATTTATTGGAATGTCGCTGAACATACACTCTCGCAGTGTGTGTGCTGTAGTGTGTGAGGTCTATGCTGTGCGCTCTTATGCGTACACCCTGCTTTGTGCAAACATGTGTTGCTCTGTTTTCTCTCTTCGCTCAGACGCTGGACAAAAAGGACGGTTTTTTTTGTTGTTTTTGGGGTTTTTTTGCAATAAGCCGTCAAGAAACAAGGTGACTAATAGGATCGAGTTGAAAGATGTTTCTTATGACTCACAAGCTCCATTCTCTAATATTTTGTTGGAAAACAAATGGGCCCGAGCCAATGTAATTGAGTTGTCTGAGGAAATCAGATCAAAAATGACTGAGCGCAGAAGATTTAAAGGGGGAATGAAAAGGCAGCAAGTGAGTCAGTGAGAGAAATGGATGCCTGCTCTCCCTTTCTTTTTTTCCTCTCTTCAAATGGGAGCAATCTTTATCTCATATGTGAAACATTAGCAGAGGGAATAGCAGAGTCATTAAACAATGAAACCCAACTTCTCTTCGGGGCAACCAGTGTGTTTATTTCAGCGTGCTCTTGTTGCCTGAATGCGTGTGTGTGAGTGAAAGAGGAGTTCATTTGGGTGTTTGAGCTGAACCTGTCCTGCTGTCTTGGTTCCAGCCTTAGGTGAGATCTGCCCAACAGTGAGTATGAGGACACAGGCTTGGCGTTTCATGAGGCATTAACCAAAAAGAAAAAAGAAAAAAGCAGAGCATCTGGATTTTTCTAGTCGCGTCGCCCCCGGGCGCTCTCTTTAAGTTAACTAAACACGCGTCTGAGGCCCCATGAGCTTTTAAGAAGTTCGGTCTTGACCAGATATAGATGACTGGATGACTCAAGAATGTTCAAAGGAGGGCAAACTCTCCCCAAATTTTCATTTCGTCCAAAGATAACAGAGTTCGTCATACCTGGGTTGTCTCCTGCTCGGCTGTCAATCCGATTTCCTGAATGTCCTCACCAACAGCACAGGGTCACCCAGTCTTTTATACCCCACCAATGTCGCATTTCCCCATAAAGCAAGTGTCTAAACCTGAGCTAGTGTTTTAACGAGACCCTTCCACCAGCCACCGTCACCACAAGGCAGCAGTTGGCGGGCGTGCATTAACGTTCTCCTTTGCTAATAAAAATCTGCACCCTTCATTCTCGCTGGAATTTCATTTGCTATCGTGGTAAGAAGGGACTGGAAGAGGTTGAGCGAGGACACTGTGTTCAGGCTTCGACATAGCCAACAGAGACCCACTGAGAGCAAAGGAGCCAAAGCTCGTTCAGCGACGGGGAAAGCACATGCAACATTTAACCGTTCTGTTGTGTCACCTCTAACCTCGCCAAACCCTCCGTAGATTTTCCAAATTTCTGGATACAGCGTTCAGGCTTGAAGCGCCTAATTACTCCCAACGCCGCGCTCTGTTCCTCTTTCATGACAGCGTTCAAGAGGCCCCAGAGCTAATGTGAGCCTGATTATAACATTTCCTGCGCTTTTCCCGCTCATTCCGTAATAGGTGTAATCCACAGAGAGAGGGAGAGAGAAAGAGACAGACAGAAGAAGCCAATCATTCTTAGACAGAAGAAGAGCAGGAATGTGTGTGTGCACGTGTGTGAGGGCGATGAGGACGTGATAACCCAGCACTACAAACCACAGGATGAGATTTGGGGCTTCAGCGTGTAAGTGTTCCAAAAAAAATCCTCTCATTCCCATCCGACCACAACTCCCTGCTGTCCCGTCTTTTGCTCTGCCTTTATCTCACTTCATCAGCGAGTCCCCTTTTCCTTTACTGATGTCCCCCAGGTCGACTGTTCACCTTTTGATTTGCTGTAATACCCCCTGATTGAGGTACTCGTCAGGAACCAGCCAAAACAAATGCAATGTTTCCCGTCTGTTTTAATAAAGAGTGACTCTGTGCTATGTCAAGAGCAGGTTTTTTTAAAGCCCCTGATATTATCCATCTCTTCTTAGTCTCCAGTTTTTAAGCCCTCTATATTTCTTCAGCCATTCTTCAAATTAATTGCCTAAATTGCCAGTGTCAACTGAATACTTGAAAACTGTGAAGCCATCCTCCCTGCACTCTATCTCCATCTTTCTTTCCTGATTGTTGCCAGGGCTCCAAAACGGATTGGTCCTGATTAAAAATGTGCACAACACTCCGTAATCACAGTGCTGTAATTAGAGGCCAAATTACACAGTTTTCATGCGCTGTTTATGCCCCCTGCCTTCGAGATACATTAGCTCAGTGTTTACGGCTGTGGTGCCCGGTGTAAAGATCGGTTGGTGACAGCAACTGATAGCAGCAACATCAAAGACAAACAACAGGCAGAAGAAAAGTGTGTGTGTGTTTGTGGGATCTGAAGTGCAGCGTGTGAGACTTTCCATCCACAGCTTTAAGTGTTTCCAGGGTGTGTGAGGCAGCCACTGTCCAGATGATTCCTTTCAGAACACACACATAAAACTGTGTTTTCTGAGCTTTCTAGCAGGTGGATGCAAGGATGACCTTTGCCACCCTGCACTCCAAGGCCCTCATTGGGGACTAGACACCAGCTCTCAACCCCTTGGACCCCAGATTTTGAAAATGCACCACTGCTTGCAGAAAAACTCTGTTTCCAAAGCCCTTTGCCTAAAACATCTAAAACTGGGATTTTTAAAAACAAGAGCAGCGCCAAAGACTCAATAAATGGCCAATAAATCACTGAAGATTTTTTTTTTTTATTATTTTCACTTTTTTTTTTCTTTTTTAAACTCAACTACTTTGCTACTGAATACTCAGTCAACTTTGCTGTTGCCTTTGGGCTTCACTGACAGTGGGGTTGCACGGACCGCCAAAGGGGAAAGCTAAGAAGTCTGATGGTTTCTGGCATTGTGCTGGAAGTCCAAAAATACTAGCTCACTTAACATCACAGCGGGACGATGGAGGGGAAGGGGGAAAAGAACATAGGAGAAAAAAGAAAAAGTAGCTTTAACAAAACTTGGTGAAAATGAGGGAAACAAGCAGGGGCTGACAAATTATTGAGGTTATGAGGTTCCACCTGTTAAGATGGCTGCAGAGGAGAGTGGCTGACTATCATCATTACCATCTGGAGCTGTTGTTAGCAACTCGCAACAATAAACAAGGAAAGCTGAGTTGCACAAACCGTGGGCTGGGCTGAATCAGACAGACAAATAAGCACACACACACACACACACACACACACACACACACACACACACACACACACAAACATAAACACACACACACAAGGGCATTTTATGATATTGCAGGCTTATAGCTTTAGTATTATCCAGAATAATTTCTCGTCACCATGGATAGTATAAAGAGTCTAAAAATAAGAATAGAATAGAAATTGAAAACAAATGATTACCTAGAAACAGAAAAGATGGCTCAATTTTAAAGCAATAGGGTTTAACAATTCTAACACTTATAGGTCTTTTATGCTAATTTCAATCTCCATATTTTTATTCTCTGGCTCTGCTAGAGTAGGTCTGCATGATTCACAGAGGTGTATAATCCTTATTCATCTTATATCGTGCATTGGTGCAGCCCTGTTGACTGAAACAAGTGCTCTTCCTTTAAGGCGACACTCCCTTTAAATCTTTCTTCTAACAGGCTTCTCCCTGCAAAGAGAAGGGCTGAGGTGCATGCAGGTTGGTGGGGCTTTGGTCTTCAGTTTGAGGTGACTGCATAAGAGCTATCAGCACTTTTTGCTTGGAATGTTAGAAGCGAGGAGAAACAGCTAGCTTGGCTCTACCAGCATGTCTACAGCTCAAGTATTAACACACTGGATCTTCTTTTGCTTAATCTGTACATCATAGGAGCATTGTATCAACTGTGTGTAGGGAGTCCTTAGAGAAGCCTAATCCATTTGAAACCTGAACATGTGTTCACTTTAGATACATTTAAAGATGATGCAGAAATGATGTGCTTTGTCTGGATATGTAAGACTACCAGTATGGATGGAAAGCTAAACTAACAATTGTCTGGGCTGCCAGTTTTGAAATAAATAATGAATAAATTCTGTGAATCTTAAAAAGCCGGTGAATCTGGACGCAGAGACAGAATCCAAACTCGACTGTTAAAGTAGGAAATGAGCTAAGCTGATTTCCCCTAACAGGACCTGATGAGAACCAGAGTGGTGCTGCACACTGGACAATCTGGTCACCGCTGACCTGTGCAACCACAGGATAGGAATGGACCATCATGTCATTAAGCAGCCTCTTTGAAGCCCGCCCAAACCCGAGGATGAGTCAGAAGTTACCATCACCACAGGTGAATCACAACGCTGCGCTCGACCTACAGGATAGAACTGTGATGAGCTCACCTGATGTGAAGTCAAATCAATATCAGAAGATGCATTAATTACTTTTAGCCAAGTCAAGAAGACTTGGCTAAAGGAAATGCCAAAAACCCTCAGGTGCTGCGACGCCTTTTTGAGCTTCTTTCTTTCTGCCACTTTAAGCCCGACGTGCGAGCCTAAGATTTCTCTTTTTATTATATTTCTCTGATGCTCTGTGCTTTTTTATAATGTCAAGAAGAGTCTGTAAATGAAGTTAGGGATGCCTTGGCACTCAGCTTGCCTCGTGCTCTGCCAACCCTACTTTTATATCACCCCTCCCAGCCATTCCTTTCCCCGTCTCTGCCGCGTTTGAACAAAGTCTGAGGCTCCAACGAAGCAAACTGTCAATTCCACTCAGCTAGCCAAAGACATCATACATGGCGTGAATTTAATGCCTTCTCCATTCGCCCTGACAACACTTTCATCGCTTACAAAAATATTGAATAATTAGCTCTTAAACTATTAAATCCAACATACATGCGCTGACACGGCCAGACAGATACTGAGCTGCTGCCCAAAAACGACGTTCATCTCCTGCTTTTTCTGTGCTTTCTTTTTTCTTCTTTTTTTTTCCTTTTCCATGTCTGCCCGGCAGATGACAC